GTCGTTCTTTATCACTTGACTTATGGTTCAATCTAAAAAAAACAACAAAAAAAAACTTTTGAAAAATCCTTAATTTACTTTTGAACAAAATTATTGTTTTTATCTTTGTCCCCATTTTTTATTCTTAGTAATGTGTAAAGAAGGGCCACTATAGACACCAAATTTATTCAAAATTCAATAAATTAAGCTTTTGATTTAACAGTTTAAATTTATAGGCTCAAGTTTTTAGGCCAAAGCCTGATTTTGATTTCTTAAGCCCACGACTTAAGTTCATTTTTTTTAGCCTAGGCCCACTGTTTTATTTTTACTTTTAGTTATTGCTTTATAATTATTTTATAATTAAGTATTAAATAAAATATTGAATATTAATTTTAAAAAAAAAAGAAGAAAAAGTGGTGCCATACAACCAACTGCACTAACACATTCCCCTATACAACCTATTCCACATCATTTCTCTCAAATCTTTTATCCTTATTTAATTTTCAGCATGATTTATGGGATCATGTTTTTTCAGCCCTTAGAGATTAAAAAAAAAGTATTCTACTCACACCCTATTTAACCACTACCAGAGATCTCCTATCCCCATTCTTTTCTTTTTTAGCATCATTTCATTTTAACTAGAAACAGCTTGCCCTAGCACTAAGCATTGGAACCAGGCACCCTTTTATCCACAACCAAGCACCTTACATCCCCAAGCACCAATCCCTCTCAAACCTACAGACTTCAGCTTGTGTGAGACCAAACCCCTTTTGCTTCTCCATACCCTTCTCTAAGCCCTGATAGCCATAGCACAGATTCTTTCCAAAGAGAGCCTCGACCCTTCACCATATGCCTCTTATGAACTGACCACCACCAAAGCAATCACCCATAAGCAAGTCCCATTTAACCCTCACCAAGTCTTAGGCCACCTTCCAGCCCATGGGTCCCTAAGCTTAACCTTTTACCATTACCCCAGCACATCAAAGGGCACCACCCCATCTCATGAGAGACCTCACCATTTGGCACAATCCTAGGCACCCTATCACAAGCCAGAAAACTCACACAACCCAATGGCACCAAAAACCTCTCCTACCAGTCACCTCTCTTAAGCCCCATGCACTCATAACCCAACCTATTGCTGTAACGTATGAAACACTCAAACCCCATACTAGCCCTTACTTCAGCCTTTTCCCTAGAGCACTAATCGTACCCTTCACCCATGCTTTTGTTTCCACTGACTAGTCACCCTTAACCCGTGCTTTTATTTCCACTGACTAGTCCCTTAAAATCACCTAGAATCGATCCCACCACCAACTATCAAGCTCCCAACAACCCCAAGACATAAAAACCCTATTCCAACCGACCATCACCATAAAAAAATCACAATCCTCACTGATCCGATGAGAAACTCAATGCCAAAAGCCAACCTAAAAAAAATCAATTAAAAAAAAAATTACAGTAACTTTCAGCTAAGAGTGTTGAACTAGAGTGGAAGAAAGAAAAAGAAAACAAAAAAAAAATGGTAAAGAAGAAGAAGAGAATGAGAGAAGAAAAAAAAAGGTGCCTAGTTTCGGTATGAAAAGGAGAAAGAAAGAAGAAAGGAAAAGAAAGAAAGAAAGAAAGAAAGAAGAAAGAGAATAGGGGATAAGAAGAAAAAAGAGAAAAGAGAAAGAAAATTGGAAAATTATGAAAAAAAGGTCTTGAAAATGCTAAAAAAAAAAAACTTGAAAAGGCATTTTAAAAAAATAAACAAAAATGAAAAAAGCTTGAGAGGTTTTGAAAAAAAAAATTGTTTGAAAAGTTTTTTTTTTTTTTAAAAGGCCTTGGAAAAGTGAAAACAAATTTGAAAAGCCAAAACAAAAAAAATTTAAAACGTAAAAAAAATGAAAAGTCATTTTGAAAAATCAACAAAAGATGTTTGAAAAGTCAAAATAAAGTAACAAAATTTTTAAAAAGGTTTAAAACATAAAAAAAAAAAAAACTTTGAAAGCAAAAAAATTTTTGAAAAGTGAACAAAAATAAAATTTTTTGAAAAAAAAAAGAAGTTTTGAAAATAAAAAAACAAGAGTGTTTTGAAAAATAATAATCATAATAACAAAAATAAAAAAAGAGAAGCAAATTAGTTATAGTAGCAGTTTAGTTGGTTTAAAGGTTTTACAGACAATGGATTTCATTTTGGATTTTAATCCAAAAACTTCGTTATGAGGTACATTTTATTTTTTAATTTATTTTATCATTTATTTATCATAGTTTTGGTATTTTTATTAATTTGTTTATAAATGTTTGATATTATAATATTATTATGAACTGCATGTAAACAAATATATTTTTGAAAAAAAAAAAGAAAGAATAATTTCAAATTAAAAATATTTTTAAAATGAGGGTTTTAAAAAATTAAAATAGAATAATAGTTTTTTTAATGAAATGCAATGACTTTGAAAATCTTACCTAGATGTTGGAAGAAATTCAAATCGTATTTTAAAAAATTTAATTTCATCTAGATGTTGGAGAATTAAAGAATTAAAAATAAAAATTAATTAATTAAAATTTAGAATATAAAGTAATTGTTTTCCATGAGTAAATTAAAAAACAAATAAAATTTATTCTACTTTTAGTTTTTTAGAAAAAAAAAAGTAAAAAGTAAATAGGAATAAAATTGATTAAATTGGTTGTTTTATTTTATTTTAGCTTTCATGTACATAATTTATTTGTTTCATGTTGCATTAATATAAAATTGTCAAGAAAAAATGAATCATGAAAGTCGAACTTGCTTCGAAAGTCCACCTAGATGTTGAGAATAATTGACGAAGTTCGAATTATCGATGATTCTTATTCTCTCAAAAAAAATCAAAACCCTTAAAACCTACGAAACCCTAAACCCTTAAAACCCAAAACTCTAAACTTCCAAACCCTTTAATCCAAAACCCTAAAATAAAAAACCCAAACTTCCAAACCTTAAACCCTTGAAACTTTAAAATTTTCAAACCATTAAAATCCTAAAATCCAAACCCTCATAACCTTCGAAACCTTAAATTTCAAAACCCTAAAACCAAAATCCAGATCCTAAACCCTCAAAACTCAAAGCCTGAAACCCTAAAATTCAAAACCTTAATATCTCGAAACCCTCAAACAAGGCCCCAAATCTTATAAATCCATCAAGACCCTAAATTTAACCCAAACCCTAAATTTAACACACAACCATGAATCATCACCCAAAAATCATTCAAACTTTAAAACCTCAACCTAAGCTTTAACCAAAAACCATTCCAAAATCCTAAGCATACGTGTTAAAATCTTATTTAAAATAATTTGTTCTCAAATGCCACCTAGACGATAGGGTATTTAAGAAACTTTATTTCATTAAGTTTTTCATACGAGTCTTTAATTCGCTTTAATAATGGGACTAAAATTAATAAATAAAAAAGTATAATAATATAATGAGATCTTAAATAAAATAATCACACATAAGCTCTACTTAGATGTTGGAGAGTCAAGATTGTATCCTTATATTTAAGAATTCAATTTTAAATTTGCATTTCATCATCATACACAACACCTATTGGCTTACAGACGTTTATTTATTATTGTTTGCACTCATTTTGTATATTTGTGCCTTTAATTTTTGTTTGCAACTTGATAGTTCCCATTATTTACTTTCTCATGCAAAACGTTAAAAAAACGTAATTTAAAAAAATGGAATAAAACAAAAAATAACATCCCGAATGAAATAATTTTTGGTACTTTACCTAGATGTTGGAGAGTTATCAACAATTATCTTTCTCAAATAATGTTGTTTTCATTTTCAAAGGATGTTGTGGTAAATATCAGTTAAAAGTGTTATTTTAAAAATTCTACCTAAATGTTAGAGAGTTTTCAGATAATTCTTTAACTTAAATATTTCTCGATACTTCTAAATAAATAATTTTGATAAAATTAATTTTTTTAAGTAATAAAAAGAAATTATTATTAAATTTTAAATCGAAACCATTTCATCAAATACCGAAAATAATGCATGATTAATTGATACCAATTTATGGACGTTGTGGGGGTGCTAATCTTTCCCTACACATAACCGATTTCCTAACCCAACCTGATTTTTGTAAACCGAAATGTATCTTTTTAATAAATTTTAAATCATTTTTATAATTTTATTAAAAAGATAAATTTTTTTGTGGTCAATCATACCTTAAAAAAGATTGGTAATGACTCCTTTTATTTTTCTTGATTTTAAAATTATTTATGTCTGACGATCTCAAAATTATTAAGACAAATATAGGTTCGATGTAATGGAATGAAGATTTTACACCACTAATATATCTTTTTTTTTTTTTAGTTTCATGTATTCCTATAGTTAGATATATATGAAGTCAATTTGTCTTTTAATTTTTTTTCACATATATGATTATCACTTTAAATTTTCTTGTTTATTTTGAATGTTTTCTTGAAATTGTTTGCTTTTTATTTTTAATTTTTTATTCCAATAAAAGTATAAGTAGATTTAAGAAAACTTTGAGAATTCAAAAGCTATTATATATATATATATATATATATGTATGTATGTGTATGTATATATATTTTATATATGTGTGTATATTTTTTAAAATATTTTTAAAGAAAGTAAAAACCAGTGATGCAAAGAACAGGATAAAAAAACTAGTAACTTTAAAAGTAAATAACAATTCATAAATAAATCAATTAATTCATAAATAAAATATTATAATCAAATTAGTAAATTAAGACAAAAGTATTGCCATAAATGTATTCAAAACAAAAAAAAAAAGGTATTTTCCTTATTTAACCGCCCTATTAAGAATGAATAAACTACTAACTCAAACCTAATCTTCCTATAAGCTTGACTTAATCAAGGGATTAATTATTTATTTTTCTGATTAATTATTCATTATCGGAAAAAAAAAAAAAAAAGACTTGGTGTAGCTTTGGTAAACTATATTAGCAACCTTATTGGGGCTTCTGTCCTTGACCCTGAGTTTCTATATATTGTACCAGCATTTGCAATCGGAGTTTTATTCGTCATCAGTGACATTAACGTTACTGCTGCTTACAGCTTGTTAAAATCTCTGGTGTTGAAGTATAAGTAACTAGTTTTCCCAGAAGCTGTGGTTGTTGGAATTGGCGAAAATCCGGCGTACTCCTTCTCTAACTTTGTTAAGCATACTTTGGCAACACTACTGAAGGCATCGTGTTTCTGGATAAAAGGTTGGGCCGCATAGTCGTCGAGTGACATCCACTGAAAAACAGATGAAAAAATAAAAGGGAAAGATCAACCCTTGTTTACCTCATTTCTGCATTGGAAAGTGAAAGTGGGCCATCTTTCTTGGCATCTTAAATAATCAAGGCAGCAACAGTTCATGAGCGTCCATGAGAATATTGTACCTGGGCAGCTTCAATCTCTACATCTTGTTTCTGGATATCAAATGAGTGTGCCCGTAACATGCAAACAAAAAGCAAATCCGATTTTTTGAAGAATGACTTGTGGCTTTGCCTGTATTTGTGGAAAATAAAAGTGAGGTGGGTTGTTATAAGTCAAAATTTATAAAGCAATTACTAGAAGCACAAAAGTATTATTGAGATTTATGACAACAACAACAACAAATGGAATGGATCGTGAGCATGTGGCCTAAGAGTTTTTCGACGGCCACATTCTTTAATTATGTCTTTGCCTGAAGAACTATCTATCATTTATTTTTTTCATATAAAAATCGTAGCTTATGATAGAAAAAGGAATTGCAAGTATTAAAATTTGAATTCTAAACATGAATTCTCCGACTTATGTTTGATTGTCAATTAGGTGAGCAAAGGATTTGGAGGTTGTCACTTCTAAACTTTACTTATAAGCCTCATTAGTATCAATGAATTGTTAGTTTTCATAAAAACAATGACTAAATGAACTACCAGTAGTAAGCTTCGGGTTTTATATATGGTTCATTTTAACAATCACTGGAATCATCAATATAAAGGGAAAGCACATACCTAAATGCTAAAATTTCCACAAATTCGGTGTCGATCTGAAGGAAAACAAACACCATGGTTACATACATGGTAGCAAGAGAGAACCTTAAAATCTATTCAATTTCACACTCATTCAAATAGGAAAAAACCATTTTCTCACCCCCGTCTCTTCTTTAACTTCCCGGATTGCTGCCATGGAAATATCCTCACCCTGTGGACAGAAATTTTCAGTTCAAGGCAAAAGGATATAGTGAAAACACCATGTTCCTAGTTAACTCACCTCACTAACAACTCCGGTAGGGAATTTCCAGACACCACTGCCTTTGAACTTGCCATTCTTCTCTTGAACTACAAGCACCTAAGATAGAACAATCAGTTGGAAAAGTCAGAATGACTAGCCAATTCAAATGGCTGGTTGATAGTCATACTCATAAGGACAGGTTACTATTCAACCAAAAGGCGTATCTCTCGGATTTTTTTTGTTTTTTTTTTCTTGAAAGAGTGTAAAAGTTAGATTTTAATTTTCAAGCATCCAACTTAAAATTAATAGGTTGTAAATAGATGAATCCAACTTGAATATAAGATTATAAAAAATTAAATATTTACGGTTTTATTTGGATAAATAATAAAATTAGTTATGGTGAGATTAAAAACAATAATAAAATTTACTGTAACTACAATTAAAAAAAATTACTGTAATTACGATTAAAAAAATTAATAAAAAATTTACATTAATTTGATCTTACTAAAATTGACATTTGAATTCAATTAAAGATGCGATGAGCTTAATTGCATCGCATCGAAAGTACGGTAAAATCCAAACGGGAATGTAGTGGAGGAGCTCTAACTTGAATATAAAATTATAAAAAATTAAATATTTATTAGATGTAAAATAACCAACTTTAACATGCTTAATATATCCAACTTAAAATCAATTGACAGATTTAAGTTGGATGTAATAACATGTTAAGTGAGTTTCGCATATCTAATAAATATTCAATTTTTTATAGTCTTATATTCAAGTTGGATTTTTTTATTTACTGTTAATTAGTTTTAAATTTAATGCTTAACATGATATCAGAGTCAGGATTTTCTTTCGTTACTCTTTTTAAATCTATGGTGTGATAGACTTCTTCTATCTTTACCTACAAGTAATTGGAGTCTATTCAAGTGAGTTTTTCACATGATGAGAGCCTGTTAAAGTGGGTTATCATATCTCTAATGAATATCTAATTTCTTATAATTTTATATTCATGTTAAATTTTTTCATTTACTATCAATTGATTTTAAATTAGATGCTTAACATTATATTTCTCACCAAGCAAACCGGAAAAATTCAGCAAAAATTGAAGAAAGGGTACCTCTCTTTTGTCATTCATGACAAAAGCACCAACCCCCACACGATGTGAAGCATTTTCAGGAAGAGTATTGGAGGAACTACTGATCCAATTTACAACCATCAAATAATCTGGTTCGGCGTGGTGGTATCTAAACCCTTCCTGAGCAATTAACAAAGCAAAAACATGAATTACACGATTGAAAAACTCAAAACAAAAGAAAAGAAGAAAGATTAATTAATGAACCCCAATCTTATATTCAGAATTTGACATTTTCAGAAGCCATCAAATTTTCATTATTTGCCAAGGAAAAGCATTTACCTTAACCGTGGGTTCAACCAGATTAACAAGTTCAATAGGCAATTTAATCCAAACCGCCCTCCTCCCCTGTAAAAGGTTTGTGATTTGCCAATTAAAATCACTTGAATTCAGCAGCAACTTCTGAAAGGTTGTGGTTGTGGCTATTAAGCAGAAGAACAGAAATGGAATTACTGACCTGTTGCTTCCATTGTGATATTGAAGCTCTAAGTAAAGAGGCGAAGACCTCAGAATCCATAGGTTTCTCCATGTCAAGAATGATTCCTCCATGCAAATCCTCTACCCCATTAAGTAATTCAACCTGTTGAATTTCATTTTCAGGTGCCATCTGTTTTTCAATTGCCAATGCACTTGTTGAAGTCGACATGTAATGACAGAGCTTAATGAGTTACTACTATTATTATATGGTCTGTAGGAATAAAAAAATAATAATAAGTTTTGATTAAGTTTAGACTGAGAAACAATATTTCCTCCATCAATCAATTCCAACTAAGACATAACCCATTCAATGAAGATCAAAATACCTGATTCTGTCTTATGTTTCTTTTTTTATTAAAGAAAACTGAACGGGTAAAATCCTTTCAACCTTCAGGGGCTAATGTTTGTCAATAAGTTGAGTAAAAACACTTGCATACGTTTTAAGAGACAACAAAGATGTGGGAAAAAAATGAACAGTTCCAAGACAGATTCCTGGGAATTGAAGACAGGAAGATGCTGAAAAAGCAATAAACAGGTAGTTACTTGGCAGGCAGGTATGGTACAACTTCCTTCCCTCTCAAACAACCTTTTTACAGATGAAATGAAATGATTATAGGAGCTCCATATATTTATAGTTTTTTGCCTTTCATACTACGTGGGATTTAAAAAAGGACTTTTTAAAAATAGGAAGCCACCATGGAAGACGGCTACCAACAACTCCATCACAGTTTCAACTTTTAAAACGTTATTGTCGAAATCCACTTTGGGAAACGTGTGCACTGTGCCTTCCCTTTTTTTGACCTGCGTGGATTGAAAGGGAATGTGTAGTTTCATAGGAAAGATACAATGAAAATGTCAGTAAATTACAACCCCTGTTTATGATTTTTTTTACAATATATTTTATTTATATCTATACTTTAAAACTCGATTTTCAATAACATTGATGAATTGAAACGGAATATGTGATAAGTTCCATAAGAAAGATGCAATTAGTAATGTCAATGTAATGAAATGAAATCACTTGAATATTATAACAATTTTGGATGGTCCGGTCCTTTTGTCCTGTCCAATATGGCAGGCCACAACTCTATAGCATGAGGTTGAATATTTGACTCCCAAAACTTGATTTTAACCATTAAAACTGGTGTGGCTCCCAGCCGTCGAGCTAGTTTATCCTTATGTTTTATTTATTGGCTTATGTCCATTTTCCGCTTTTGGTCTTTGGTTGATGGGAAAAAAAAAACCCTTAATAACTTTAAATATGCTCGCTTCAATTCCAATTTTTCATGAAATATCACTAAATGTGGTCTTTCTACTTTTCTTCTTGTTATTTAATGATTATTGATTGAACTATTAAAAACATTCATATTTTATATCATATTATGATTCATACGAAAATTAATATTTATTTATGCATAAAGAACTTAATAATTTGTTTATCTAAGATATTTTAATGCACCAGGCAAACCACCTAGAGTGCAAGTTTGATCCGACTTGAGTCAGATTTAGTTAAAAGTTTTTAAATATGATTTAGTTGGATTGCAGATATTATTTTATTAATAAAATATTTTTATTTAATTTTAATTTTAAATTATATTAAAAATATTAAATATTAATATTAAATTACCAGTATCTAATTAAAAAACAAAACTACGGGGAAAGTTCCATACTGTCTTACAATTATTGGAGAAATGCAATATCGTGGGAAGTTAAGGGTACAATTTCCTTGCAGATTCAACTCTGAAACCAGAAGACTGTTTAGAGACTTCTATTTGGATGAATAAAGTAATAAGCACTCAATAAGTGTGAATCAATTGGGCAATATCAATTGACATCTTAAAACTGGGAAGCTTTATATGTTAATTATTAAAATGTTAAAAAAAATTAATATTTTAATATTTTAAATGTATTTTATAATTAAAAATTAAATAAAAATATATTATTTATTAAATATAATAATATCCTGCAAATCGAACTGAGTCTAAAGTTTTATGTTCAAAGTCCAACCAAAGTTGGGCCGAGTCAACAAATTTGACGAGTTATTGCCTGATCCATGGATATCTTTACACAAATAATTCAGATAATCATCCTTCATTTTATCCCGTTTTTGCAAATTTATATCAAGTTAGGAAATAACATAATCACATAATCAATAGCCTCATGATTGTTGGTTGTAAACTTTTAATTTTAATTATTAAAATTTAATTCTTGAAAATTTTTATAGAAATTCTTGAATTTTTTAAAGAAATTCTTGAAATCTTAATTGCAAAATAAAAGGAAGTAACGGAGAAAAGAGGATACAATAAGGGACAAGAAAATAACAATGCGGTCTTTTTTGTGGACAAAGGAAAATAACACGAAAATCACATTAGATAAGAGTAGCGTTCTATCAAGGAAACAGCGACCCACTCAGGTAAAATATGCGGGGTGACCCTGAATTGCAACTCGTCATATTTTTATGGTCAATCAGTTATTGCGGTAATATATACAAAAACCATTTTGTCGGGTATCAATGACCATCATAAGAGGTCACACAAACTCCTGAGGGTCAATAGTGAAGAGAGGTTAATCGGTGTCCTAAACAATCCATAAAGGACTAATGGCTTCTACGGTGGGTTACGATTCCTGTAGGTAAAACCACGCGGCCTAGCGTTCCCTTTCTAGGTTGGTTCCTCTAAAAGCTATTGAAAAACGACTTCCGTGAAGTGGTATCCAGGCTCAGACTATTGAGTAGCAGATGAGTGGCACAGAGATGTCATGAACTGTAGGAAACCACATAAGCAGCTCCCAAAGGAGACAAGAAGGCTGTGATTGCAGGAAGACACCCAACGCCGCGGGTACAACTTCCTGCGCTTCTTCCCTTGAGAAAGGAAGAGGCTGCCATGTTTACACTACACATGCCACTCGTATTTGTATTGAACCTAGTTATAGTGACAAAAGTCCGGGTTTTATAGTTTTTGTAATAAAATTCGGTGATGAAATTCTAGTGCATTACCTCATGGTTGAACTAAATACCCAAAATACATTTTTTTGTTAAAATATTAAAAGTCGTTGAATTATTCAACTTTATTTAAATAAATTTTTATATTTTTATTGTATCAAAATAATTCTTTATACTTTCCTTTATATCTATATAAGTTTTTATTTCGAATAAAATATTAATTTATATTAAGAATTTATTTAGTTACAAATTAAAAATTAAGAATTTGTTTAAATATAAATTAAAATTTAAAATTTTATTTATATGTAAATTAAAGATTAATGATTTATTTAAGTATAATAAAAGTATAAAGATTTATTTAAATAAAATGATAAAATTTAAAATTTTATTATTATTATTATTATTATTATTATTATTATTTTGAGAAGTGTAGATTTATATTGACGCCGTGTTTGATTCTCTATTAATTTTGATTTTTGCTATCAATATTTTCAAGATCTATATATAAATGGTGATTCTCGTACACGTTGAAGTTAATGAAAAGAAATGAGACCATGCGTTAATCCACCTTGTGTCAATGCCCTCGCTTTTTCGTATGTAGAAATATGTGCACGAAATTACTTGGTCTTTCAATTTGCAGAATTAGTACTCCATCTTTTTTTTTTTTTTGGGTCTTCTTCGATCAATTTAGTCTTGCAGTAACCTAGCAATTCATTGAAATTCAAATAGGTCAAATTATATATAAGATATTTATACTTTAATTAAATGATAAAATTAGTTCATCTATTTTAATGTGTTTAAATTAGATTCCTATAATTTATTTAATTATTAAATTTAATCAAATTATTAATTATTTAAATTTTTTTGTTAAAGTTAATGATATGACATTTTAACTTTTTTGACGTGATATTTTTACTTAAGTAGTTATTAGCTTTGTTGATATATAAAGTCCATGTAGTCAAAGATAATGATATGGTAAAATTTTTTTACATTTCATTATTTTTTCACGTTAATTTTTTTAAAATTATATAGTTTGTACTTGTATTTTGATTAAATAGTAAAATTTGTCTTTCTATTTTAATTTGTGTTTAAATTTAATTCTTATACATAAACTAATTATCGAATTTAAGATTTGATCTAAAATAAATAAAAGAAAACTACAATAAAAGAGGAAAAAAATTTAAATACAAATAGGTCAAGTTGTAGATAAAATTAATATATGGGTTAACATTACAAGTTGCACTAGACTTATCTTCTAAAACGACACCATTTCAACTTATTATAAAAACAAAAAATATTTTTTTTTTAATTTTTTTCTCCTCTCTCATCTTCGATTTCCTCTTACTTCTCTTTATAAGTTTCATTCAACAAATTCATATTTTAATGAAATTTCTATAAACCAATTATTGAAAAATTCAACTATTATAAAAAAATTATTAAAAAAACCCAAAAACTATCAATACCTAAAGATCGATACCACCATTTTGTATCTTCAACTAAAGCAAAACTAAGTATAATATCCTAAAAATTCTAAACTTGAAACCTTTAAAAAAAATTCTCAATAAAAAATTATTTCTAATTGTTTTTGTTGTGTTATCTTGTCAAGTGATGTTGAATTCTCAAAATTTTTTCAAATCAATCTTTTCAAAAATCTTTCATATTTTCCTTATCTTTTTTCAATTTTTGATTTCCTTTTTTTTACTTTAACTTTTGGACTTTTAGTAACTAAACAGTAAAAATAAATAAAATACTTTTGGACTTTAAATTTGGGCTTAGAATTCAATTTTATAATTAAATCCAATTGATCCAAAAATGATTTTAAAACCCATTTAATATTGAAAATTTTTTTAAATGAATATCTACAATTAATTACTTTTATTATTGATTGTGTATTTGAGTTTGTTGATTATGGTTTTTTTTATCTAACTTTTACATTTTTGTCGTTTTGCAAGTTTTTTTATTTTTTATTTTTTTATATTTCAAAAATATATAAAAATAAAAAGTAACAAAAAATCAATAAATAAATAAATAAAAGATAAATAAAATATATAATTTAGTTTATGTTAGGTTTATAATTTAATTTGATATTAACCCAATTTGTCAAACTAAGTCCAATTAATAATTCAAATATCCAAAAAAAATTATCTAAATATGAAAAACAATCTCATGGTCAAATTAATAAGTTATGTTTTTATATGTTATTTTAGATCATATCTTAAATTCGATAA